TTTATTTGTTTGTTTTTGGTAGCAGGGATTGAACCCAGGAGCTCTTAAGCACAGAGCCACAGACCCACCCCTTTTTTATATTTTATTTAGAGACAGGGTCTTGCTGAGTTGCTTAGGGCCTCACTAAGTTGCTGAGGCTGGCTTTGAACTCACAATTCTTGTGCCTCAGTCTCCCAAGCCGCTGGGATTACAGATATGTGCTACCGTGCTTGGCTTTGTATTACAATTTCACTTTCCAGAAAATCTTCAGACTTATCAGTTAGAGTTGAATTATATCATCCTCTTTTCTTATTTTGTTTACTAAACTATTTCTTATAATTTACTATATTTTATTTAATAAACTATATTTTATTTAATATTCCCCTATTATATCTTATCCCTGTTATTATATTTTATTTAATATTTAATAACTTAAGTATTAATTTCATTTCATTTTTTAATTTCATATGTAATAAGCCCTCTTATTCTTATTTTACTTATAATTCAGTTGATTGGCTTCTAATGAGACATACCAAGGTGAGACAGAATTGTTATTCTAGACCTAATAKAAAAACTCCACATTATCCCTACATGGGAACATAGACCTCCATCTTTTCATATATCTTTACTCCTTCATTCCTGCTTTCAGAGCATAATTTATTGAGAATTTCTTCTGTCTTCATGACCTTTATATTCTAGCCAGAAAGAGATCATATAATTAATTATTCCATTCTYAATCATAATTATGATAAATACTATTATAAAAAGACACAAAACACTGTGAGCTTTTAGACTGTGGTCCCACCTTAGGGTCAGGAAAGAGTGCAGAAGGTGAGAAGGAAGGTGAGGAACYGTGAAACACGGGTCTTCATGATGGACAGTACACAATGACTAGGTGTTCTCAGATACAGAAATGAYGTCAAATTATGTCGTGCTTATGGGTGAACTGTTATTTCTCTCAAATGAGACATAACCAATCAGTTTAGAAATGGGTGCTCGAAAGCGACAGAACTTACAACCCACAGTGCCTAAGGTACAGATGGAACTTACATGAGGGAAGCTAGCCTGGAGAAGTACTCACCAACTAGAGCTGGAGACCTCAGAGATCATCAGATCCCAGAGTCATTGCCTCTTCCTGTCCTAGCCTCTGTTGGGCTTCAYGCTCCCCACATTTACAACCTAAGATTTAGGTTTCCATCTCCAGAAGCCTGTTCAGAGAAAGTCTCAGAGTATCTTTTCATTCTGATGGGGTCATGTGCTCATTCTGAATCAATCATAATTGCCAAAGAAATCAAATGCTCCAACTAACTGAGCCAGAGTCACTGGTCTATACCTACAACTATGAGAGGTTCTCCTAAGAAAATTAGGATGCTTTACATTGTAGAATGAAGGAATTCTGGGCAGTGTTATCAGATGTCCACTGTTAATCTCTTAAATGTTCTTTGCTTCA